GCATTCCTGAAACTTGCCGTTGAATTTCTCCACCAAGCTAATTGCCTCTTTATTTCCTGATTTCACCTCCCTCTTTGGGGGAACTGGCAACACTTTAAATGCATTCACTCTATTAGATGAGGTTCGTGGAATGTTCCTGAACATAAACATAAGAGCACAGAATCCCATTCTCCTTCTTTATCATCCCAGGGCCCGGACCTGTGGTTCTGTCTTTTTCTTCATCTCCTAGTCTCTTCCTTATGTCCGCCTGTCCTTGAGTGTTTTGAAACAAGGACATAACTATAGTTTTCTAAAACGCAGACTTCTTGGGGTTCCAGCCAGGGAATGGAGTCTCCACATACCACAGTTTTTTAAAGGAAACCACTGAAATAATCCCTTCTGGCCAATCTCGACCCAATTCTCAGGAATAGGAATAAAAACAGCTGTTATTACCGAGGGCTTCCTCTGGGCTATGCAGTTTATCTCTACGAGATATGCTTTTATCTGCATTTAGTTAACGCAAAAACACCCTCAGTGGTATTGTCACCTCCTTATACTCACAAGGAAAACAGCCAGAGAGGGGAGATAACACCACTGAGTTCCATTTGACTTGCATCATCAGAATTATTCTGATAATACCCATGGGAGAAACTCTTTCATTCAAGAATAAAACAAAAAGAAGGGAGTAAATTTTTCTACCTCTGCAAAATGCCCTGAGGACCCTCCTACGTCACTGCATTCTGCCCACGCTAAGTTAAAGAAGAGAGAAAAACAAAGGAAACCCTGTCTGCTCACTCTGCCTCCAGACTGTATCCTGAGTCTCTCCGCTTCTCACCACCTCCATTGCTACCCTCATGGTCAAAACGACCGCCATCTCTCACCTGGATCACTGCCATGGCCTCCTTACTGGTCTTCCTGAGTCGACCTTTGGCCTACTTCAGTCTATTGGCAACAGAGCAACCAGAATGACCCTATTCCAAACAAAGTCAAACCAGGTCCCTTCTATGCTCAGAGCTGTCCAATGGCTCTTTTTTCTTGAGAGGAAAATCCGAAGTTGTTACAGTGACCAGTAAGTCCTTACCTACTCTGGCCCTTAAGTGCCTCTGTGACCTCATCCTCTACACCTCTCCTGCTTTTTCTCTCTCTGTTTCTGCCACACTAGTCTTCGTGCATTTCCTCAAAAACATGAGACACAGTCCTGACTCAGGGCTGGGCTCACCTGTCCCTCTGATAGAATAGTCACTTAGTTACCTCCCTCACCTCCTTCAAGTCTTTGCTCAAATGTCACCTCCTCAATGAGGCCCCCCTGGACCACCCAAATTAATAGCAACCCTCTCCTCCAATCAAATCCCAAATTCCACAATCTCCTTTACTCTGCCTTATTTTTTTTCCCCATCACACTTGAACCACCTTTTCACATACTCTACAATTTACTTGTTTACCGTGTTTATTGGCTGCCTCCCCCCATTGTAATATCCAAGAGGCAGGGTCTTTATTGTCTGTTTTGTTCATTGATGGATAATTACAAACGAATCATGCCTGGAACAGAGTGGCCACTCGAATATTGGCTGAATGAATAAATGAGTGCTAAGATTATTTAAGTATTCCTCTGTATTTCACTCTTTCTTTGCTTCCCCAAAATGTCCAAGATGTCGGCCTTCTTGAAATTTTGGATAATTTAAAGAGCCATGCATTTAGAAATAGCTTAAAAAGTGATTTAAAATATTACGGCCATATCCTTCAGGGTTCTGACATTAATATTGAAATATCACAACATCTTGAAAGATTCTCTGCCTTCTAAATCCTCACAATAATTTAGCATGTCAGGGAAAAAATTAATTGAACTCGTCTCTACTGTTGAATCAAGAATTTAACTGATTTGCTGTTTTTTCTTCGTTTCGGCATGCTGGCATATGTAAGCACATATTTGATTTTGTGATGAACTTTTAAAAGCTATTGTTAACTACTCTATATGACATTTTTCAGGCAGAACTGCCATGATTTCAGCAAGCATCTATGGATTCACCAGTATCTGTTCTTGATTACATATAATTATTAAGGTATAATGAGTCCTCAACTTTAAGAATAATAGTCTCTCTGGAGTAAGAATTTCTTTGAGTGATATGAGATCAATGAAATCTAATACTATAATTTTTCTTTCAAGAAAAATTGACCAAGTGTCTGCTATGATAGATCTATTGCTAGATACTGTGGTCCCAGAGATGAACAAAAACTAGTCCTTGTCCCCAAATAGTTCAGTCTAGGGGAGGAGACTAATAGACTAAAATTGTGCCTAACAATTCTATGATATGCATAGTGCTGTAGCAGGTTCATGGAAAAGTGCTGTGGACATGTGGCAGACAGAGTGGTTTTAAGAAAATTCCTGTAACACTGAATATAGTACTTACTATATACTAGATAATAGTCATAGAAGAAGTAATTCAGTCATCTAGATGACCCTATGAGTTAAGACTCATGACTGTCCTCATAATGATTATAATATTATGTCCTAATAATAATAATTAATAAAAGGTCATATTACATGACCTTTTTAAAATTATTAATATTAAGTGCCTAAATTCCAGGCATTTTGCTTGTCCCCTGGGATGCAGACATGAATGAGATGCAGTCTTTGTGAGAGGTGCTACTGCAATTATGTTATTCGTGCTGATCCTACACATGTGGCTGAAAACATCTATTCTTGAAATTCCACTTGAAAAAAATGAGCAGTTATAACTGGCAAAGCTTTTAGAGCGTGCTTTTCCATGGCATGGCTACTGGCCCTTCACGGGGCCAGGCCCAAGCTCGCTGCTGCTGAATAGTCTATTCTCTAAGCACTGCAGGTCTGCACACTGGGAGGACTGGCGGCTGTGAGTTTCAGGAAATATTTCAACCAAATAAAGCACCCAAGTCTTGTGCCTACTCTTGTTCACAATCTCTTCTCTGATTCTTGCATAATGTAACAAGGTTTGTATGCAAAGACTGAATGCCTCATAAATACTTTTAATGTTATTATGGTGAAAAGAAAAAATTAAGAAAAACCAAATTCAGCCATCTTCTGTGAACTTTCAAAAATTGAGAAACAGACTAAAGATATCTATGGATTGAATTGCTCATCATTTTAAGTTAATGTAGTAGCCAAAAAGGCAAATTTGCGTTACATTAAGTATATAATAAAGCCTATGTACAATGATGTAAGGGGATATTTAGCTGTATGTGAACATAAATTTATCTTATAACCATTTACATAATGGAAAAAATGACAGCAATAAAATTAACACTGAATATAGTACTTACTGTATACTAGATACTAGTCATAGAATAAGTAATTCAGTCATCTAGATGACCCTATGAGTTAAGACTCATGACTGTCCCCATATTACATGTGAGGAAAGGGACAGCGAGGCTTACTAGCTCACGGTCACTGCTAATAAGTGGCAGAGCCAGAATTTTGGCCCAGGTGATCAGGCTGTAGAGTAGGTGACAGCAACTGCTATGTTACTTTCCTGTGAAGGTAAGACAGGCAGGTTAGCCAATGTCGTTGTTTAGCTCACTTATGTTTTAGCAGAGTCCGTTTGTATAAAGTGGATGTTTGCACTGAGAAATATGTTGGGGAAGAAATATTCAAAGCGTATAATTCTCATTTGGAAAATTTTTACCTTCTAAATGTTTATCTACCATCTCAAAGCCTTAAAATAACTTTCAAGGGTGACTCAGTCTGTGCTTAACCAAAATATTACTAATGTTGAATCAGCAAAATCTCACAAATTTTAATTACTGATCACACAATGCAAGACACACCCCACTAATTATCTCTCTTAAAGAGAAGGAAGCCGTCTAGCTATGGCACATTCACTTCGAAAGACGTAGAATTCAAGGTGCTGTGAGGCTCCGTGCTCTTCCGGACCTAGATCTTAAATAGTGAGTGGTGTCATTTTTTAAGAAAATTTCTGAATATTCTATAGCAAGGTGACTTTATAGGTAAAAGTCTTCAAGAAGATTTTATGCGATTTAAAAAAATCAACTTAGATGTTTGGCATTTGGATCGCTTCATTCTTATTCTTTGGCACGTCAGCAGGTAAGACTCATAATTTATAAGTTCCTTAAAAATAATGAGTATATTCACATGCAAAATGTAATTGACGTAGACTTTGAAATTTTGGCTCTGTTTATATTTTGATTTGTTTGTCATAAAATTATCTAAGGAAAATGCATCAATTTTGTAATAATGAATCCGAAGAGTATATGAGAAGCATCTATTTCCAATAATACAAAAGCTACTGGATAGTCTTGTGCATGGCTCCCAGCTCTGCCACTTACTGGCCTTACGGCCTTGGCCAAGTAACTTACCCATTAAAGTCTCAATTTCTTCACTTCTAAAATGGATATGTAGCAGTAAATTTTAAAAAATGCATATTTCCAATTTCAATACCTGACAGTAGATGCTCGACAAATATTTGAATGAAGAATGAATGAATGAATGAATGAATGATTAATGCTGATTAGAAATTCCATGTTGATTTTTTCCATCTGTGTCATGATTTTGTGAAAGGATATTGGTCTTGGACATTTCTTACACATTAATTCAATATTCATCGACTTGTGCTCTTTACACTGTGGGTGCCTTATGCATTTACTATGTGGTAGTTATTGGTTTTGTGTGTTCTTACCACCCTGTTCAATACTGTGCCTATAGGCGCAATAAAAGGTAGTTGATATGTTTTAACTGAAATAGAATCGAAGAATCTCAGTGTTTTTTAGTCCCTGCCCTCTAGCTATCCTCTGCGGGATAAAAAATGAAGAGGATGGAGCCATCATTAGTTTTAGGATATGCCAGGAACTGTGCTCTATTTTCCATGATTTTCCTGCTTGAACACTGAAAGCAGTGAGACTCATGAGTCCCAGAACAGAATTAAGAAGTGAGCAAAGTCTGCCCTGATCTGTTTTCTCATATTGTCACTTTCTCTATCTCCTCCTTCTGGAGCCTTCTTTGCTAGCTCTACTCACAGCCCACCTCTCAAAATATTCTCTGAACAAAGATGCCAATATATTTTTTAATCAACAAATACAATCACCTACTATGTGCCAGGCACTGTACTAAGCTCTGGAGATACAATCGTGATTGATAAGACTTCCTTAGAGCCCCTCAGAAATATTTGCTTTTCAGTAGGGAATGGCTTCTGTTTGGAAGCTCATTGAATTAAGCAAACGTTCTAAAATGGGAGGTACCAGAGGACTGAATGCAAATAGACTCTGCTATAAATTTAATAGATACAATATAGGTAATTATACAAATGTGATGTAGACTTAATTTTTAAAAAATATGGCAACTGTATAATGGACATACATGTGTAGTAAAAATATATGTATATATTATCTGTTTCACATAACCATATATTTTATTTAAAAAACATTTTATTGGGCAGCTAACTCCCTCTTCACTTACCCAGTTTAAATCTCATGGTCAGTTTTAATCATGCTTTGGTTTATACATTAGACTTCTCTGTTGCTCTTGCTTCACTTGACTTAACCATGACCCTGATTAAATGCAACACTGGGCTTGCTTTGTGCCTGCACCTGCGTAGCTGGATATGCCTGAAAAACGAAAACAAAAACAAAAACATACCACGCTGACTGTCTCACTGCGAATTCATGGTTATTAAACTGAAGTGGACCCTAAAGCTGCAAAGCCACCATTCTCTACTTCTCTAATCTTTTCATTTTTCCAGATTCCTGGGTGATTTCGCTTTTCTCCCCTGTGCTCAGACCTCAATGCCTCCCTGCTCATCAGCAGTCTCGGCTGATTGCCTTACTTCCTAGTTCAATAAGAAAATAGAAACAAAGACAAGAGACCTTCCATAAGACCTGAGCACCACCACATCCATCCAGCTGCCTACATGTACCTGCCCATCCACTCTGCCTTCTCTCTGCTCCTATGCTCTTGCTCCCAACAAAGGCCAAACTTCCTCCTATACATTAGACTCCACCTCCTCACACCTGCTGCGAGATAGTGCCCAACAACATTCCCTTCCACTCCTCCTGTTTCACTGGGCTACTTCCTCTCTCCTGGACCATTCCCAGCTACACACAAACACGTTGAGTTCTCTCATCTTCACAATTTCACTTTCGACTTGTCCTTACGGGGTTGCCTATTTCTCCTCCCTTCTTTCTTGAACTCACTCCCATCAGGCTTACACCCCTACCACGCCGTTAAAACTCCACTTGTCACGATAACCAGTCACCCCTGTGTTGATAAGCCCGTGGTTGGTTCTCCATCCTCATCTCATTGGATAACAGTATTTGGTACTCCAAACTGCTCCCTCCCCTGGCAGTCTGTTTTTAAGTTGGCTTCTAGGATGCCACACATCCTGGGTTTTCTCCTACTTTTCTGATCCTTTCTTGGAAATTTTCTTTGTTAGTCCCCCCTCATCTTCTTGATTTCTTAATGATGGAGTATTCTAGGACTCAGTCCTTGGACCATCCTTCTTCACCTGCAATCACTCCCTCGGTGATCTCATTCATACTTGTGGCTTTGACCACCATCTTTCTGCTAATGACATTTAAATTCATATTTCCAGCTGATGTTTTCTCTGGAATTCCAGATTCATATCCAACTATCTCTGTGACATTTCCACGTCTGAATCTAATTTATGTAAAATCTACATGTCTCAAACCGAGTTCTTGATCTCTACTCCCAAATGTCTTCCTCCCAAAATTTTTCCCATCCCCTTAATGGCAAGTCCAGCCTTTCAGGCACTTCCGTCATAAGCCTTGACATCAGCCTTGACTTTTCTTTCTATCTCTCCTCACTGCCATTAGTCAGCAGATATTTTTCAGATCCTCCTTCAAAATACGTGAAGAACCTCACCACTTCTCATCCCTCTCCTGCTACCCCCTTGATTTTAGGCACCACTGTGTCTTATGTAGTTTACTACAATAGCATCCCAGATGGTCTCTCTGCCTTTACCCTTGGCCTGCATCAATCTGTTTTCAACACAGCAGCCAGCCTAAGTCAGTCTGTGTCTCTTTTCTGCTTGGAGCCCTCCAGTGGCTTTCCCATCTCACTTCAGAATAAAAACCAATGTACCTGCAAGGATCTACCTGGTGCTGCGTGCGTTGCCTCTCTAACACCATCCCTTAGTCAAACCCAGATGCACTCCAGTATTCAGATGCTTTTTTGGATTTTAGAAAGGGACTATGGTAAGTATATTGTATAATACAAAGCCCACAGCATTTTGGAGCAGTGCCCCATCAACAACTACATGCCTATTTCTGTAGCAAAATTTGCAAATATTCATATTAAATGAGACTATATTGCCTTAGGCCAGTTTTTTTCTGACAAACCAGTTCTTGCAAACTAAATTACAAACGAACAACAACAACAAAACAAAAAAAAACCAAAAAACCCACTTTTGTTCCCTCCCCAGAGTTTTTTTTTGAAATTGCAGAATAAGTAAGGTGCTGAGGACGTGTCTTGCCCTTGGGCCCCTCAGCTCCGGTCAGAACAGCCTCCTCGTGACTCCCTAGTCACAGCAGGCACACTCCCGCCTCACAGCCTTGTGCTTTATCTTCCTTCTGCCTGGAATGTTGCTCCCTCTAGAAATCCTCATGGTTTACTTCTCACAGTCCTTCAGGTTGTGATTCAAATGCCACCATTTTTAGTGTGGTCTTGCCTGGCTACCCTATTTGACTTGCAAACCCCTCCTCACCTAAACACACATGAGCCTTCACCTGCCATGTTTTGTGTTTCTCCCAGCACCTACCACTATTAAATATACACCATATGTTATTTGTTCTTATTCGTTGTCTGTTCCCTCACCCCTCACTAGACTGTACACTCCATGAAGGCTAGGATGACTTTTTCCACTGTTGAATCCCCAGTTCTGGGAACACTATCTGGCACATAATAGGCACCCAAGTAAATATTTCTTGAATAAATTAAAGAATCTATTTTCCAGCTTTTTTTATGTCATTGGAAAAGACTATCCACAGTAAGATAGAGAAATGACTCATTTGGAAAGTGGAAATTAGGAAAATACAAATTAATATGGCAGTTTGTATGATTTCTTAACCAGTTAAAACTAGCTTTATGTAATGAGCTATATTTCAAATTCTCCTTTAAAGAACTTTTAGGTCAAAAAGGAAATAAAACATTTCAATTGCAGAATATATCAAAATATAATGAGTCGAAAACTGAAGAAACTAGAAAAAGAACAAATAAAGTTGAAGGAAGAATTTAATAAAAATAAAAATAGATGTTAATGCATTAGAAAAATGGGAAAAACAGTATAATTAATAAAGGTATGTAGCGATTGCTTAATAAGACTAAAAAAATAGAAAACAGGGATGATAAATTTAGATAAACAAAGAAAAATAGCCACAGTTTTGGAAGATATTAAAATGATTGTACTTGGTATTAATTCACACTAAGAGAAGTCAAATTCTAGATGAAAATTCTACTCCTTACACCAAAACAAATCTCAGGTAGATGAACATTTAAAAATAAAGGAATGAAACAGTAAAAGTATGAAAAGAAAACAGAGGAAAAATATTAATAATCTTGGAGTAAGAAATGCTTTTGTAAATAAGACGAAACCCCAAAGCTATGAAAGAAAAGGTTGTTGAATAAAATGTAAAACTTCTATATGAGAAAACATAAAGTCTATAAAACAAAAATATTAACAGCAAACGAGAATATCTTTTCAAAATATCTGACTGAAGAGGGGCAGATCGCTCTACTATTCAAAGAGGTTTTATAAGTAAATAAGGAAAAAACAAACTTTAGAAAAATGTGTACAGGACAAAAGATCTTATCCACAGAAGATGTAAAAATGGCCAAAAATGCACAAAAAGATATTCAAATATATAGCTAAAGAAATGCAAATTAAAATGACAAAAGGTTTCATTCTGTTGGCACATACAAAAATTTAAATCTTCATACCCTTACAGAGTAGGTTGTACTATTGTTCCCCATGATTTACTCTCTCTCCCTGGGAGAGGATTCTTCAGCCCCACCCTTGGCCACATGACGTGACAGAGAGCAGTGCCAAGGTGAGAGCCTGCTGGATGAGTCTTTGTCTGTGCAGCTGTTACATCCTTTTCCTTTGCCCCGGGGACCAACATGCCCTGAACAGGGTCTGGTCCATTAGCTTGGATCCTGGAAGAGAAAAGACGGGTAAATCAGAGCCATAGCCAACCTAGAACCATTGCAACCAAAATATAACATTAACGAGAAATAAACTTCAATTTTTGTTAGCCAATGAGAATCAGAAGCTATTTGTCACTACAACATAACCTAGGAAAAGCTAATTAATTACACTTTGCAACAGAGTGACCTGCATTGTTCATTTTTTTCCTACCACTTAATAACAATGAAATATTGGACAAGGTGATCACTTTTTCTAAGTTTTCATTTCTTCACATATATGACACATAGGGCTCAGTCTGTTTTTGCTATATTAATTATTATTAATAAAACAAACCAGATTAGACATAATTTGGTAAAGATGTACTCTTTTTTTTTCCCTTTTGTGACTTTTATTGTAAAGGTAATTTATGCTCATGATTGACAATTTGAGACCATAGATAAGTCTAAAGAAGAAAATTAAAACCATGCCATGTCACCATTGTTAATATTTTGGTGCATTTCCTTTAAATTTTATATTCCCCCTTAAATGAAACTACACGTAGTTCTGTAACCTGCCTTTTCTCACTAATATTATATCATTCTCACTTTCATTACAAGTTTCCTTACAGATTCTCTGTAAACCTTTCAAACGGCTGCATACTATCTTTAATTCGATCATTTAAAACCATCTCTTTTTTGGATGTGATTCCGTAATGTAGTGGTTAGCACATCTGCTTTACATGCAGAAGGTCCTGGGTTCACGCCCCAGGGGAGCCATGATCTATGATCTACGGCTATGCCACCCTGCACAAGCCCAATCCCGTCTGATCTCGGAAGCTAAGCAGGGGTGGACCTGGTTAGTACTTGGATGGGAGACCACCTAGGAAGACCAGGTGCTGTGGGCATAACTAATAATAATAATAATAAAGCAAAATCTAAATGTGAAATCACTGGTCCAGATTAGAACTGCATATATGTGTGTTTCGAGAGGAAAAAACAGAATGGATTCCAGGCGGGAGATATATTGATGGAGAAGCTGCACCACGCTAGGGATGTATTGAAGGAGGCACATGTTTACACTCCCAACAAGAGAAAACAAAGGCAACCAGAGAAACCAGGAAGACAAAGATGGCACAACAAAGCCATGATCCAAATATGGAGCAAACGGAAATGACACTGATGTTGAGCAATTCAGGTATCAGAAAAAAGAATTCATTTGAATATTTTCCTTTGAAGGGAATGGAATCCGAACAATGGAAGTGCAGAGAGGGAAATGTAATTATAGCATGCTAGCTGGCTCTGGAAGGAAAAATATTTATCTAGTCATAATAATTATGTTTATTGATTTTTTGAAGTCAGCCTACAGACAAAACATGGAAGACTTAATTAGGATTATAGAACAAGGTCTGAATGTTATCGATCTTGACAGTAGGGAAGTGGAAGTGCAGCTGGCAGAACTCGGAAGACGAAAGGGAGGAAGAGAAGGAAGAGGCAGCAGGCCTGAGAACTTCGCCTTGCAAAGACAGGGAGTCCAGTTATTAGGAATATGAGGCACGGATCAAGAAATGGAATATTACTATTTACGTCTACAGTGGAAGCCAATAAACGAGCTGAAAAGTGTTATTGACTGTATAGGAGGAGTTGAGACAAAGTGAAGAGCAGCACAGGCTGCCTGTTGAGCTGCTGTCCCTCAGCTTCAAGCCTCCCTTGCTTTGCTAGCACTCCACACGGCAAACACGGTTCGACATTTCAGCCACTCCCAGGGAGTCACTGTCACTCAGGACCCTCGGGGGACACCGAGGCTCCGAGAGGGAAAAGGGAGGTGTTTCTTCTTCTTTGCTCCTGGTTCCTGTCTGCGTTTTTTCAGCAAGGGCTTTGCACTCCAGCACAGTCATTCCAATAGCTGCGATTGTTTTAATACTCCCAGAATCAGACTCATGGTGCCTGCTCAGAGATGCCAGCAATAGGGAGCTCGCACTCTTCCTCGGGCCTGCATCTCAGCTTTGGAGAACCTGCACCCCCTCCCCCAGCAAGCAGCCCTTCCCCCAAGCGTCCACATTGGAATAACTCAACCTCTCCCATTTTTTTGCACCAGCCCTGGAGCTGGTAGCCGCTCCCCGCAGTTACTCCCCGGGAGTCCCTTACAGGACCCCCGTCTGTCTTCTGTTCTCCAATGCCTGGTTAATTACGATTCATTATATTAAACTCCCACAGGTAAAATAATTGGAGTGGATTCTGTTTCTTGCCCTAATCCTGGCTGATCCAGGGCATAGGTGTGTTAAATCCTCATTTATTACTGCAGCAAGTTGATAGATCATGTGTGATTAAAACTAATAAATTGAAACTTGGTAGTGTAAGCACATCATATACAGATATGTAAGTAACCACGAGAAGAACTGTAGACATGTTTAAAGTCGTCACCTCTGGGGAGGAGATTGGGTTTGGGGGTAGGCAGGGGATGTTGCTCATCTGAACAATTTTTTTTTAAATGTACAAACATTTCTTTGATGAAAAAAACCTAATTTTCTATACTTCCTCTTTGCATTTATGCGAAAGGAATGAAAAAAATGCAAAACCTCCTAAAATTTTAGAGTTAAAAGCTGATGGATTTGAGGGTCAAAAGTTTATTTAGTATTTATTTTTTTTTTTTGGTAAGAGAGAAAAGAAAATCCTCAAATTCAAATCTTCAAATAGCTCTCACCAATATTAACCTAATCATAAAGTGAATACATTATAATAAATGTAAATAATAATAATTTGAATAAATAATTATAAATTATAATCATAACTGAATAAATTTAACTATCTCGTAAAACAGCATGAAATGAAGTTATTTGTTTTTGAGTATTAAATGAAAATGAAAACAAAAAGTCATAGCAAAAGGATCAGTCAGAGTCAGCGAATGACAGACATGACTGAGACTTAGTTTCCCCAAAGCCTCTCACTTTAGGGATGAGTAAAGTGAGTTCCAGAAAGAAGTAACTTGGTTAAAACTAAATGAAACTTTGCTCTCGTTTACACTCTCAGGAAACGTATATTAGACCCCTACTGTATGCCAGGCATGGCGACAGGCTCTGGGGACAAAGAGGTCCCTTACACCAAGAGCTTTCAGTTTAACAAGAAAAGGCAGAAGGCACAGTCTCCCATTTTATGTCTCAGGCCCATTCACATGTAACAAGTTCACTTAGTCTTCCTAACAAGGCTGTAAGGTAAGTGGTGTTACCTCTATTTTGCAGAGGAGGAAATTGAGACTCAAAAAAAGGTAAAATAATTGCCCAGAGCCAGCAATGTCTCATCTGCAGTATTGTGATCTGCATTGCTGTGTTCATAATATTGGAGGTGGGTGGGGGAGGGCACGATTTTTGAAGAGAAGCCCCCCGAGGACTTGTCTAACTGAAAGACTGATTTCGATGAACCTCTGAGTGGGAAACACAGCTTCTCTGTGGGCCTGGTTCCTACAGTACTGACACTCTATCTTTTTGTTGCAGGAAAAGAAGTTTGCTATGAAAGGGTGGGGTGCTTTAAAGATGGTTTACCATGGACTGGGACTTTGTCGAGACAGTTGGCGGGTTTACCCTGGTCTCCAGAGGAGATAAACACTCGCTTCCTGCTCTACACGAGACGCAACCCCAAAGCCTATCAGGTAAGCTAGTTTGCTTTCTTCACACGTGAATTATTCTAAAATATAAGCTCTAACTATAGATACAGAAAACATAGATACAGTCATCTATTCTGGCATAAACTATTGATTTCAAGGCAAGTATTTCTTTTTATATTCGTGAGCCAGACTTTTTTTCATATTATTTGTCCTAGTATTTAAATATGAAAGTTGCTCTGAATATGTAGTTTCGCATTTGCTATTTCGTTCGGTTAATGTATTAATTGAAAACCTTCCACATGTGAGACTGATCAAGCAACAGTCCCTATTAGGTATTAAATTGAATAAACAAGACAGTGTCTTAACTGTATTATATTAGGGGAAACAGGGTATGTAGACGAATACCCTTATTGCAACACAAATTACGATCTGTGATGTAAGGTACAGTAAAGGACTCTGGGAACACAGTGAAGAAAGCCTTGCCTTACCCGCGGGGCTGGGGATGATGACCAGGGAAGGCTTTGCGGACGCCATGCAGCCAAAGCGTGTTCGCGGTGGGGCAGGGTTTGCGTAAGCAGAGATATAGGAAAATGGCAAAGGAAATGGCAAGGTCAAGCATCATATTAGACTGGGGACAGAAGAAGTTTGGAAGTTTTCGAACGTAGAATTAGAAAAGTAGTTCAGAGACAAATCGTATAACTCCTTCCTGTGGAGTTTAGATTTTACCCAGGGAGCCACGAGGCCCATTGAGAGTTTCTAAAGAGGCTTTAGGACATTTTCTCTGGCTGAAGTATATACCTCCTTGACCGGGGCTGGGAGAGCCTGGAGGTGGCTGCCAGACCACTTAGCCCTGTGCCGTTCAACACAGTAGCCACCAGCTACTCGTGGCCATTAAAATAAAATAAAATTTAAAATTCAATTATTTGGCTATACCAACCCCATTTCAAGTGCTCGATAGTCACACATGGCTAGTGGCTACCATGCTGGACGGTGCATCATTACAGGAAGTTCTATTTGACAGCACTGAATAGAACACTTTGGTGCACTTGATCAGACATGGGGAACGAGGCCGAATCAGAGTCATCAGTGAGTATGATGATAGAAAATTGACATGAAGAACATCACAATGTATCCTGAGATTTCACACGTGAATGCTTAGAAGACTAATGATCCTCTTGTCAGAAAAATTGGGGGTGAAAGAGAATGAGTTAAATTTTGGACAGGGGAGGTTTGGGAAGGCTTTTGGAGATTTTAGTATTATAGCTTAGGGAACAGTCCAGAGCTGGAGAAAGGGATTCAAAAGTCTTTTACCCAGAGGTGAAAGTTGAAACCCAAAGAATGCATGCAGTTTCAGGGGTGCAGAAAAAAACGTGACACTAGACCCCGTGGATCATCTGTATTTAGGGAGCACTCCCCACTGTAAGATCATTTCCAGTCTTTACCTGAGTCTGCAACCTTGAGGCTCGCTTTCCATGGGACCCATCACACACAGGGCAGGTTTCACCAGCCAAGACAGACTTCTGCTGTGTCTTCACACCATACAAACATAATCTGTAGCTGTCTACTTATTAGACACACACAGAGTGTTATACTTCATGATTATATACACACAGCTCTTGACTGAAATATGCCATCTGCTCTGCAGATGACAACTCTATCTAGGACAAAGAAGAAAAGTCCTTATTGTGGGTATAAAGAAATTTATAAAGAAAGTATTGTCAAAAGTTTTGTTTTTATAACTACCAAGAAGCAAAGAGTAGAATAATACTCAGCTTTTAAAAGAAATGAAATTCTTATAGATGCTACAACATGGATGAACCTTGCAACGTCTTGTTAAATAAGCCAGACACAAAAGGACAAATATTATATGATTCCAGTTAAATGAGGTACCTAGAATATTTAATTCATAGAGACAGAAATAGTAATTACTAGGGGCTGAGCAGGAGAGAATGATGGGGAGTTTCTGTTTATTAGGGACAGAACTTTGGTTTGGGATGATGAAAAAGTTCTGGAGATGATGGTGGTGATGGTCACCCAAAAGTGTGACTGACGGTGCCACTGAACTGTACACTTAAAAATGGTTAAAACGGTAACTTTTATGTTATGCATATTTTACCACAATTTGTAAAATGTAGAGATTCTATGTTGAATACAAATGTTTGGGGCACCTCTGTTGATTTAGGAGTTCCAGGGATGTGTGTCCATTCAGGACTAACTGTAGCTCCTGGCCATGACCCTCAGTCCTCCTAGGGCTCATCGATCCTTCATCCTTCTGCACAGTGGCCATGCAGTTGAGCCTTGCAGAGCACAGGCACCAAAACAGGAGATGATGAGGTCTAGTCTTCAGGCAAGGCTTGGCCCTAAAGGCGATGAAGAGAACATCAGAAACCAAGTACTTTCCTAGTACAGGGACCATGAAAACAACGTTCTTCACATTTTCCCCACTCCCTTCTGTTTCGGAAAGAACCTTGTGTGACAAACCAGATTTGTACCTGGATTTTGCAATGGGGAGAAGCCTGAGGGTTTGCTCTTAAAGTGTTTTTTTAGCAACAGCTAGGATATAGGATGAGTCAAGGTGTTATGCTTAAAAGAAAAAAAAGGATTGTCCCAGACTTAACCCATATGCTGTACTGTATAAATTTGACTGGCTTTGTTTATGAGAAAGCAGAGATAAACTACGCAAAGGTTGAACTTGCTCTTTTCCCGGAGACAGGAATTGTTAAGGGGAAGGATGATGCAATGAACTCGGTCTCCTGAGGGTCATAGGCCTTCACAGCTACCTTTCTGCAGGAATGAAACAACCCACTTCCCCACAAAACCGTGACACTTTAACCTAGAGTGGCTCAGGCTGACGCTAGGGGTGATGCAAACTTTGTATAATTAAGGTAGTTTCTGTGCCTGCAGCCGTTGTCAAGGCTGGAACATACCTCACTGGTGACTATTTTTGACTTACTGGAAATGAGATCACTTGTAAAGTAGTCAGCAGTTGTGGAATGGGTTGATCTCATACCAGTTAGGTTCCATGACTCCTCAAAGATAAGTCATTAAGATAAAAGGCCCCAGCACCCAGCTAAACACTGACGTTTTAACTCATCCTTTCTCTGGATAAGCTCTTCTGTTCTGACACCCTTTTTCGTTTCTCTCCTTGGGGCACCAGAATTCGAGCTGCCTTCTTTTAATTTTATGATGTTGTTTGGCATTTCTCATTTTCTAAGTTAGTATGCCATTTGACAGGGGTGTGCCAGATAAATAAATGCAGAGTGAATCAAAAGCTTTTTCTACTTTTTCTACCTTATTTAATTTGCCAGTGGCTTTTGTGACAATGGAGAATGGTAGAACCCCACAATACTTGTCTGATTGCCACTTTAAGACTTGCTCAAGGTCTCACTTCTTCATACTGTTGTAGAAACAGGAATATAGAAGATGTTCGGGGGTCTCCAGCTGCAGTTGAAATGAGCATCTTTTAGGTGCATGAATGGACAAACGTTTTTGCACGTGGATTCCATTGCTTAGCAGAGAAGTGCTTCTGAGAAAGCCCAGATACAATTGGTTTTATCGCCTTATTGGTTAAATTTGCCTTAGCAAATTTCACATGTGGTCTGAGCCCTGTCAGTAGAGAGCACTATGATCAGATCAAAGCACCGTCAGTTGAGAGCCCAGTGGTTAAGGACAAGGCTTCAGAGAAAGACGATGTGAGTTCAAACTCTGTTAAGGACTCATTAGCTACAGTGCTTTTGGACAAGTGTCTCTCATTGCGCCCTTTCCTAATTTGTAAAATTGGTACCTACCTCACTGTGTTGTGAGGGTTAAATGTTCTAACTACTCTGTAAAGTAGAACAATTCCTGACACACACGCAGATGTGTTAGCCATACTATAATTGCCATGTAAACCAGCTTATTATTCTCATAATCATTTGCTTACAACCTTGGAAATACTTTAAGCAGCCAGCAAGTTGTCTGAATAATTGCGTATCGCCGTTAAGCACAGGCAGCTCGTAATAGGCAATTTGTTTGAATTTCATAAGTATCTAAATGTGTTGTTTTCCAGTTACAGGATTTACTATTGTCGAACTTGCTATTTGCTTATTATTCATTTTTTCTCAATAGAATTGCTTATACTTGTGCCCATTGATTTTTCTCTTAATAAAAAATTACTTAATTTGACTTTGCTTATAAAAACAACCCAACAAAATATAAGTAATACAAAAGAATACTAAACATAATCACATATTTTCATGTGGTGAGAGTCTAACCTCTAGTCCTCACTCATAAAGTGGGGTGGCCAGTCTGTTGTGGCACCCTTGTAGCGTATTTCTAAGTCTCAAATAAGATAAATCTCATGAATTACTCTGACAACTGAGAAATGCTATACAAAAGTAAGGCTTACTGAAATTCTAACACTAACTGACCCAACACTGTCTTACAAACATTGCTTTAAAACCATTTTTATTTCCTTCCTCGCGATTAAATTTGCGTATTGCAATTTGTAATGCATTAATAATTTCTTGCTACTTTTGCAATGTGGAACAGTCACTATTTCTTTGGTTAACATGTATTAAAGAAGGCTGTTAAAAATTAAATTTTGTGGAAGACTTTTGAGCAGATTTTGAATAATTCTACTAGATGTTAAATGATTTTGCATCATTATTTTACCTGAATCTCTTTTCTCTTGAAACAGGAGATCAGTGCAGTTAATCACCTAACTATCCAAGCCTCACACTTTGGAACAGACAAGGTGACCCATATTAACATACCTGGATGGAATTCAGATGGAAAATGGCAGCAAGACATATGCAATGTATGGTGTGAATAAACTCTTCTTTACACTAGCGTGAAAGCTTTGTGTCTCACGTGAACATGCTTTGCATGGTATCGATCCACATTTACAGAAATCCTCCGTTCAGTCCTTCACATTGTCCATGTTCCAAGGCCTGAAGTGAATTACCCATTTCCCATTTATTTTCATCTATTATGATTTGCATAGATTATAATGAGAGCATATTTTTAAAATCACTCTTTAGTAAATTCTCACCTTCCACAAAAATTGAATAGTGCGATCAATTTCTTGTTTAATTTAAGGGTAAAAAATTACTAAATTCACTCTAAGAACTTAATTTTCCTCTCTTATACTCAATATTAATAGACTTCTAACAGAGCACACAATTAATTATTTATAAGGCCTTGTAGCGTGGTGGAATCAGGCTGTCTGAATTCATATCGTGGTTCTACTTACTAACTCTGTGATAGTGGACAAGTTAATTAACCTACCTGTGCCTCAGTTTCCTTATCTGTCAATGAGGATTAAATAAGTTAATATGTGTAAAAGGGTTAGGACAGGGCCTAGCACATAGTAGGTTCTCAATACCTGCTAGTGTGATTTCTTATTATGGAATCAATTTATCGGGCACTTAGGTTTCCTTAACTCTTCTTTATTTAATCATTTCACTAAATATTTGTACCAGGTGTTGCTAAAAGTGGAAGATGTGAACTGCATTAATTTAAACTGGATTAACGGTTCTCTGGAATACATCCACGCCGTGAACAATCTCCGTGTTGCCGGTGCTGAGGTGGCTTATTTTATTGACGTTCTCATGGTAAGGAGAGTTCCTTTTTAAACTACATTTAATTGGTTATTCACCATAACACCAATAATTTGGGGCCATTTTGTGTTATTTTTATTAGCTTGCACAAGTACCGAACATGTGAAATAATAAGCAATCGTGTATAGTGGCCAGAAAAGGGAAGTTATTTCTCGAGAAGTGCCTGTGATTATACAGAGTGCCACTTGGTGGCAATGTCCCTTCGCAGGCTCCTCACCAAGTGCTTTCCCTTGACCTTTCCCCCACCAAGGTCACTACCTTGGTTAGCATATAGAACCATCTCTGTTAGTTTTTATCACATTGTAAACCTATCCTTAATAATTATTTACTTTCCATCTTATAAATGCTGTTTGTTAGAATGTGAAATGCATTTTCTAACAGAAATTGGGTTCCATGGTAGTGAATTAGTTAGGTCTATAGGCCAGTCCAGGTGCAGCTCTTTAATCTACACATTTTATTTATAAGAGATATACCCGGAGACATTCATAGATCTTCAAATGCTCTGCCATTACCGAAAGCAACTCCCCACCACAAAATGCAGTGAAGTAAAATTTAAAGATTTATGACCCTTTCTGATTCTTAAAGAGAATTCACTCACTCATTCAAGAAATATTTTACTCCGCACTTGCTGAGAGCCAGGCACTGTTCTAGACACTGAAGGTACGTGGTGAGCGAGACAGTGTGCCTGATCTGATGAAGTGTAGGGACAGTGTGTGAAGAAATCCAAGGCAGTGGGACAGAGAGTGACAGGATTGGCAGCTATTAGACGGGCGGCTGAGCACAGTTATGAAACGGCCTGGAGAAGAACCACAGAGCCCGTTACTCGGCTCCGCCCCCACACTTCTCAATCTGCTCTTCCCACTCTGTCAGAGGCGCCTGGAGGGCAAGGAGGCGCCTAGAGTGGGTCTTCGTGCACAGAGAATGAAATCCAATCGGATCGTCTCCTCTTCAGAAGGAAACCAGTCCTACGCTTTTGTGAATTTCTTCGTCGAACCTGGGGCCTTAGCTGTGGGCTCTTCTAGATCCCATGTCTTCTCAGACATTTGCTTGAGTTGCCCGTGCTGGGGATGTGCCAGAAGGGTTGGGCCTCTGGAAAGATGGGCATGGGCTGGAAGCCACAGACATCGTCATCCCTGGGCTGTTCTTCTGTCCCAGAGACCATGAGGCCCCTGACTGCCGGCAGAGGGGCTCTGAAGAAGGAATTCCTCCAGGCCCGCCTGATGCTCTCGCCTGCAGCCAGATGAGGATATCCGTAGAGGTGGAGGTCGCTTTGTCACTTTATCGGCCCCCGTTCTGTATGGGAAAGGGAGAAACGTGGCAGCTCCTTTTTTATATTAAGCATAGTTAAGCCATTCTACCTGCTCTTTTAAAATTATTTGTTCTGTTTTCCTTTTTAAAAAATCCCGTCCAGAAAAAATTTGGATATCCCCCTTCGAAAGTGCACTTGATTGGCCACAGCTTGGGAGCGCATCTGGCTGGGGAAGCTGGGTCAAGAACACCAGGCCTTGGAAGAATAACTGGTAAGCCTGCCCTAGAATTAGGCCTTGAATTTGTTCGTATACTTGTTTACACGTGAAATCAAGTTTCTGAACAGCAAATGAAGTATCAGAAGCGAATGTAAAATACAAGGAAATGTGACTCATCTAAACTACAACTAAAACAAATGCTTTCAAAGTACTCGTACAGATCCACGTTCAAGGGTATTCACCACAGCATTATCTGTGGCGGCAAACTAATGGAGACTGTATGATCGGCCACCAGTAGGGGGCGGCTGAGTGCATTATGACCATATCCCCTGCTTTGCAATTCCATATTCACTAATACAAAGAACAAGTTAGAGCCCCACGCATGGTCCTGAAAGGATGTCCGTGACACATCTGGGTCACAGCTCACCCAGTACATGCTGGCAATATGGAACTGGTTTGTTTAAAGCCTGTGCCCGTGCCACTCCAGTTGCTAAAATTGTTAATATTATCCTGGATATACTGTTAAGTCTAAAACTAAGTTGCAGAGTAAAAAATATACAATGAATTAGGCTTTGAGGGTGATAAATAATTATATCCCTTCCCTGCACTCTGACTTCCAAACTAATAGAATCAGATAGATGGAGATCAAAATATCAGCTCCATTATCCACAAGCTGGGCTGGCCTCCCCCTCCTGCTCATCTCCCATGGACAGTCAATCAACAAGTCCCACGTCTCCTTCATCTGCTTCAGGCCCTGGCCACTGTCCTAGGCCCTCTCCATCCTTTGCCTGGATCTTGGCCGTCTGTGGCTGGTCCCCTAGCCCAGTCTTCCACAAGACCTACCAGTGACATCATCTTTCTTAACACAGACCGGATCACTCCGGTGCTTGAAACTTTCCACTGTCTACAGCTTCTCGGCCTGTCATATAAACATTTCACATTTCATCATGTTTTTGTGTCTTTCATATTTCTGTGTCTTTCCACTTGCTCCTGTCTCACCCTAGCATACTCTTACTCTTCAAGATTCATATCAAATGTGTCTTCCTGGGGCAGAGTTAATTCTCTGTACGCTTTTAAATATGACTCTATTATATTTGAAAATACAAAAATTGTATCACATGGTCTTATAATTTTCATGTGCCCATTATTTTTAATAGACTCTGAACTACTTAGAAAGCCTCCCTTATCCCACCCCTACCCCAGGCCTGGCAGGTAGGAGGTGCACATTTTCTGTTTATTAAAACAATAAACTGCAGTTCTGTGTATACATACACACACACACATATATATATATATGCTTTAAATTAAATTTTCATTTTACAATATTTTTTCCTAAAAATAGTTAAGAATTCCAAATTGGGTGTAATGTGTCTTGCCTCTGCAATCTCTCAATATAACAGGCTTTCCTGCTAAAATTTTTTTCTTTTTCCCAGCACTCTGATCCCAATTCCAACCCCAGCCCATCACCATCATTCTTATTTAAGATAAGAAAATTGTACTTTTATTCTGAAGTCATTGGGTGGCAGAAATCCACCCCCTTTCAGTTTTCCAGTTCTGGGGAAAGAAAAACATACAGCTTGTGAAGATAAACTTTCATGGGGCCTACACAGCCTGTGGGGCATTTAAGCCATAATTTAAAGGGAAGAACATTGCCATACATGTATTAAAGATTCACACCAGGTTACAATAAATTCATGAAGATATGTTTTTCCTAATTCTTATTTCAAAAATCAGATACTGTATAACTCCAATTTTTTCTGCCAAGTGAATTATCCCGTTGAGTAAATAGAAAACAATAAATTTTTAAAGGCTCTCTGAATGTCCAAAGAATTTATGTAATTTATATAACATAATGCAATTTATATTCCTTCTAAGTGGTGAGTTTTTGAAAAATCATGTTCCGTGAGTAACAAAAGAACTGAAACTTCAAGAAATATTTTAACTTTATAATAAAACTAATTTAAAACAAAATTAATATGATAGATATTAAGACATGCATAAGTTCCTGTGTCCACAGGAATTATTTATTAATGGGCAGGGGGTTATCATAAATGACTGTAGCATGGGGGTTATTCAGCCAGTTCTAGGATATTTTTTTTTAATCTATAGACAGCCTCAGTGTTTTCCCTAATTGAGAAGAGATTACTCCCTCTATGCTGACACACACAGGCACCCAAATCCATACACACTAATGAACTCAGATCTCAAATGGTTAAGCTCTAGCTTCTGGCACATAGTGCTTCAAAACTAATTGCTGAATGTGTAAGTGAGTGGCTATATGAATGGTCGTGACATTTTAGAGACCTCTAGATATCTTACTTTTATTTTGCTAGACATTTGAACAGAAACGATGGGCTGAGAGTCTGGACTCCTGGGCTCTTAGTCCATTTGCCTCTAACATATGGTGATCTTGTCAAGTCATTTCACTTCGCTGGGTGTCAGGCTTTTCATTTGTAAAATAATGAAGTGGAACTAAGTGAGCTTTAGCTGAGGACTAAGATTCTGTCATTTTAACTGTGTCACTTTGTAGATTCATCTTTACATACTGAAAAGCTCTTTCGTTTTATTATTATTATTATTTTTTGCTTGCACATGCTGCTTTCAAGGTCATCTCAATCGATTACCTTAATTGTTTATACGCTATTCCATATATAGACCCTCGAATAGCCACTTTAATTTTTCTGACTTTGTTAGCTGTTTTGGTGTTGTCTAGACACAGCCTTGCTTGTGTGTAGGAATCCAATGTTATACAGACCTGCATTTATATACTCAGTTTATGTATTCGTACTTTGTGCTGAGTGGTGTTTGACATGTATAAATCATATAGTTAATAGAAAAGAATACCTTGCCTTCACCATCTCTCCTCCAGAAAATAACAACACCGTCAACACACTCTTAAGTAAAACAGGGCGGTTTAATAG